ATCAAAAGCAGCCAAGCAGTTGCCCTAGAGGGCCAACAAACGGCATAGAGGCCAAGGCATGATGCTGCTCCTAAGCACTGGGTTTCAGAGGTTTACTGCCTCTGAACACGGAGAGCCCCTTTACTGGAGTAGGGTCACTGTGCAGAGACAGGCAATGACAAACTACCTCTGAATGTCTCTTGCCTCGAAAACCCTATGGGGTTGCCATAAATTGGCCGTAACTTGATGGCAGTTCACACACACATCCCGTTCTGTGAGCCCCCTACCCTACAGTCTGAAGCAGTATGGCCTAGGCATGAGTTTGCAGCCTCTTTGAAAGCTAGATTGTTCCCAGACCTTAGAGTTTTATTAGATGCTGTATCCAGTGCAATTTGTCAAATGTGGAACCTCTGCATGTCTACCAGGGAATTTCTCTGTATAACACAAGGGATTCTGGGAACACCCATTTTGTGAGGAATTAATTGAAGGGATTATTTTATTTTAATTGTATTATTTTAACTGTTGTACACCGCTCTGAGCCCATTTGGGGAGGACGGTATATAAATCTAATAAATAAATAAATAAGATTATAATCTGAGTGGATCAGGAAGTGACAGGATGGGACACATTTTTCTTAGCTGGTTTGCAATCCCAGTTCTGAGCAATATTTCTGAATATGAAATTCAGTGTTTATTTCACTGGATTTCACACATCCAGGCCCACCTTACTCTCTCCCATGAATTGCTTTGAGCCACTTTTTCAGTGTGTGCATGGGAGAAAAACAGGATGTACATGTTTTAAATAAATCTATTCCGTCTCCCTGCGGTTATGCACTCTCCCAAAGTGGCAAGAAGTTCCAGAAAAGTCAAAGTTTGGCTTCCTTTTGATGCACTGAAGACTTCTGGCATTTTTTCCCTTTGTAATATCTGTTTTCTTTACAAACATACAAGTAAAGCACAGACAAAAGCCAGTTTGGTGTAGTGGTTAAGAGCAGCGGACTCTAATCTGGAGAATGAGGTTTGGTTTCCCACTCCTCCACATGCAGCCAGCTGGGTGACCTTGGGTCAGTCACAATTCTGTCAGAGCTGTTCTGTCAGAGCTCCCTCAGCCCCACCTACCTCACAGGGCAGGGAAGGGAAGGGGATTGTAAACCGCTCTGAGACTCTGAGTGAAGGGCAGGATATAAATCCAATCTCTTTCTCCTCCTCCTCCTAAAAGGCCACAGGTCTGTTATATTCCCCACATGAGATCCCAAAAAGCAAGCCTCCATCTCAAGCAGCTTCATGGAGAAGGGGTCATGGTTCACTGGTAGAACAACTCGGCATGCCCAGCATCTCTCACTAAAAGGAACAGGTTGAAGGTGATGTGAAATGTCACTGCCAATCAAAATAAACAATACTGGCCCTGATAGATCAATGCTCTGAGTATAAGGCAACTGTGTGTGACCACCTTCAGCTAGCTCACCGTATTGCCTCCCTATCTCTTTCATAGTCCAAAGCTGGTATTTTTAAACTCAGGTCCAAGAGCGCTAATGTGGTTACATCAGACTAGGAACAGGGAGAACCAGGTTTGAATCCCCACCCTGTGACCTGGAAGTTTGCTGGGTGACTTTTGGCCAGTCACGTGCTCTCAGCCTAACCTACCTCACAGAGTTGTTGTAAGAATTAAATGGGAGAAAAACAATGTGAGCTGGTTTGTGTCTCAACTGGGGACAAAGGTGGGGTATACATGAAGTAAATAAATAAATGCTGACATTCTTGCCCTTCTTTTCTCATCTAGGAGGAGGGGTGTACATGAAATGAATGAATGCTGACATACCAGCCATCCTTCCCTCAGTTAGGAGAAAGGATATAAATGAAATAAACAAATGCTGATATATCTGCCCTTTTTCCCTCAGTTAAGAGGAGTCTCCATTCTTCAAGCTTTCCTAAGACAGGGGAATAAGGGGACCATCTCCTAACAACAAATTCCGGTTGAAGAAACACCCATAGCCATTAAAGCGCATTAACACTTTTTCAAGGGCCTGACTTTCAACAAGTGCCACTTGAGGCAAACCCAGAGCAACCAAACCCATTTGCAGTATTCAGACAGCACTTTCACAACAATGCATTGTTGCACATACCCAGTGCCAAGCCTGAGAGAACTGTTAGTTAAAAGCTGCTGGTAAAAGCTGATAGCAGCCCAATAGTTATGTTGCTCCCCCTTTCCAATGTCAGTTCCAAAGGAGTTCAAGGAGAAGGGATAAAGTAAGATGCAACGGAAAAACAAGAAAAGAGGCTGAGGGATATGTGCTCTTAGATTAGTACATCAGATTTACAAGCTGAATGCACATGAATTTGTTCCTTCACCGTTGGATTTTTCCACGCAATTCTACAGGGCAGGAAGGCAGGAGTCTGCACTAGCGCTGCCACCATCTTCAGGGCGGAGGGCAGTGGTTGGGAGGTGTCTTGGCCTCTGCTCTGAGACAGAAAGCTGCTCTTGGTCTTGAGGCCTTGCTTTCCTGAGGCCTCTTCAGCTAACTTCGTGGGACGTCAGGGAGGGGTCTCTTGCGGGCAGGCGAGAGCGAGGGGAATCCCGGTGCTCCTACTGAGGGGTGGGGGTGTGCCAGGGAAGGAAGGGGCTGAGGCCTGCTTGACGAAGAGGGCGGAGTCAGCTGACCGGAAGGGCCTCAGCCAGGAGTGCGAGGGCCCGCCTTCTTTGCGCCTAGGCCTGAGGTGGGGCTCTCCAGCCTGGGCCCTTTCCCAGGGTGTTATGTACATGGACTCTCCAGCCTGGGCCCTTTCCCAGGGTGTTATGTACGTGGACCGCCTCCAGGGGTCCGCGGACAGGCCAGAGCTTGGATCTGAAAACAAAGGAAACTTCGGATCCTGGATTCCCCAGCCCCAACCAATAGCCACCTTGGCGGGACATTCAAACCCTCCAATGGGAGTGGGAGGGTTGCTGGCAGATATGTATATAGTTGGCCCCGTTGGCCTTTAGTCTTTGTCTATGTGAAGTACAATAAACGTGTGCTACAGCATGTCGTTGTCCGAGTCCTCCATGCGGCGAACCCAGTACTTTTCACAGAGCCTTTGTGTCTTGGGACATGGCAGCCATGATGACTGGGGCAGCAGCAGCTGCCCTCGTGAGGCCGGGGGGTGTGGGGGGTGGGAGGGCGGCCTGCAGCGTGCCCATGTGAACTTGAGGATTGTCGGATTGGGAGCTGAGGGAATCAGGAGGGGGCTGATGTGGCCCTGAAAGGGAACCGGAGGGGGGGGGGTGCGCAACAGCGCAAGAGTGAACTCACCAGGTTCGTCACCTGCCTGAACTCTGCCAAAGTCTGCTGCTGCCTGCCTTCCCCACACTTTGACCTCGTGGCCCATCCTGGGCACTAGTATAAATTTTGTTGTAGCCATCCATCATATAAAGTAGGGTTGTCAGCTCTGGGCTGGAAAATCCCTGGAGATTTTGGAGGGTGGAGCCTGGGGACAGTGGAGTTTGGGAAGGGGAGGGAAATCAGGAGGCATAAGGCCATAGAGTTCACCTGCAAAAGCTGTCATTTTCTTGGGGGGGGGGGACGGGGACTGATCTCTGTTGTCTGGAATCAACTGTAATACTGGGAGATTGGCAAACCTGGAGGTTGGCAACCCTATAAAAGGAAAATTGAGGCCCGAACCAGGATGAGGTCTCTTCATCTGGCTCTTTAGGGATTTGGCAACAGGCCCAAATCTTCCACAGGTATACCATCAGCACACTTACTTTGGCCCTCTGCTTGCAAAGTTATTTGTTGACATTATTTTGTGAGAGTTGCCAGCACTGTCATCTTCAGGCCTGCATTTCCTCTGCGTGGATTAAATCTCAGAGAAGCCCATAAGCATGAGACGATGGCAAAAGTCCTGCCCTGCTAGCTACAATGGGTATTCACATAGGGTTGTCAAATCCAGGGTGGGAGATGCCTGGAGATTTGGGGGGAGAGTTTGGGGATGGTAAGGACTGAGGAGGGAAGGGACCTCAGCAGCCCCCCCCCCCTCCAAAGCAGCTGTCTTCTCTAGGGGAACTGATCTCTGTAGTCTGGAGATGAGTTGTAATGCTGAGAGCTCTTTAGGCCCTACCTGGAGGCTGGCAACACTACTTCAGCATGATGATGTGGTTAGTGTCAGAGTGCTACTGGGGATTCCTAGCTCAAATCTCCATTCTGCCATGAAATTCACTAGGTGGCCATACCCCAGTTACTGTCTCTCAGTTTAACTTACCTCATAGGCTATTATGAGGATGCTGTTTAAAGTCTTGTAAGTAGCACAAATTCACATGCTGCTTCTGAACATGAAGGTTCTATTGAAGTATCAGTGCTACTACTTCCTCCTGGATTTGTCCACCCCTCCCAACCAGGATGTGGTATCTATTGATCCACGCAAAAGTGGCAACCAAGTTTATTTATTTCCATTCTTATGTAGCCCTTCATCCAAGGAGGTCAGGGTGGCTTACGAGGGTGAGGTCATCTCGTCCCCCCCCCCTTCTCTCACAGCAACCCTATAAGGCAGGTCAGGTTGAGAGTGAACGAGGAAAGAACATACAGTTGCCAACTTTGGACTGGGAGATTCCAGGAGATTTGGGTGTAGACCCTGGAAAAGACAGGGTCTGGGGAGGAGAGGGACTTCAGCAGGTATAATGCCATAGATTCCGTCCTCCAAAGCAGCTATTTCCCCCAGGGGAACTGATTTATGTAACCTGGAGGTCAGTTGTAATACCGGGATGTCTCCCCCACCTGGAGGTTGGCATCCCTTCAGAATCATCTGGAGAATTTCATAGTAGAATAGAACAATTGAACCCGGTGAGACCCAAAACCAGCCCCGTGAGCGTCACTGCCCAAGCTTGGATTTGTAGCCCTTTTTTCCAAGCCCGACGCTCGGAGCGTCGTCACGCGGCTGGTTATGCGTTGTGCGCCTCTCGGAGAGAAAGGCCTTTTGCAGACGATCCCTTGTCATCCACCCCGCGCGGCTGCGCCGGCGCTCGTCTTTTGGGAGACGCTCCCTGAGAGGTCACTCAGGTAAACAGCCAAGATGGCGGCGCCGTCGCCGGGACCGGAGCGGGACCCCGGCCTGGAGGCAGAGCGGGCGGCGGCGGCCGGGCTGGCCCCGCTGACCCTGACGGCGCTGCCGGGGGAGCTGCTGGAACTGATCGCCTGCTGTGGGACGCTGAGCGCCGCCGACGTGGGCCGCCTGGCCTGCACCTGCCGCCGCCTCAGGGAGGCCTGTCAGCCCCACGGGAAGGTCTGGCGGGAGCAGTTCCGACTCAGGTGGGAGGGGGCCTGAGGGCGGGGCCTGCGGCGCCTCTGGGCATAGGCAGAGGGCGGGAGGAGAGGCTTCCGGGAGCGGTGCCGCTGAGCATGAGCAGAGAGCAGCCGCCGGCGGAGTCTTAAGGAAGGGGCGCTGCCCAGAGCCGCTTGGGGACTTACAAATATTATCTCTCTGCTTCCTCGCATCGCCCAGCCCCAAAGATATTGTTTTAACTTGTTTATTGACTACATTTTTAAAAAAGTTCTTCCTCCAAGGAACTCGTTGCTTGAAGTGTCGGGCTAGGGCGACCCAGATTAAGAGTCTCAGTTGCAGAATTTACTGGGCGACGACGGTGGTCAGGCCACTCATTCTCTCGGAGCCTAACCTACCTCACAGGGTTGTTGTCAAGATAAAGTGCAGGAGGGGGAGAAGCAGGTGTGCTGTCCTGAGCTCCTACGAGATTAAAATGTACTACTAGACAGATATGGTTCTTTCCCTTTTTCTCTTGATGCTTCATGCTCAGTGCTGTGTACTCTGACTGGCAGTGACTTTAAGTGGCAGTTCCAAGGATTGAATAAGAGGTTCTGGTCAAAGAGAGCCAGTCTGTTGCTGGTAGAATATTGGACTAGGATTCGGGAGACCCAGGTTCTAATCACAACTTTACCGTGGAAGCTTGCTGGGTGACTGTGGGTCAGTTACATGCTCACAACCTAACCTTAGAGCATAAGAGAAGCTGAAGAATCACGCGAGACAACTCTCTTGAGGGTAGAGAATCAGTCTGCCTCTCAAGGCAGCAAGCAGTTTATTATATGCCCATTCTGCTTCCCCCCTCCCCTCCATCCGTGTGCTGGGGTTGAGAGTTCACATAGCTGGGGTTCAGGGTTCACATTCCGAAAACCAGAGGAGAACAATAACTTTCGGGGGATTTGCTTAAAGGTGCTTGCATTGGTATAATGATTAACAAGCTAGCTCCACAGGCACTACGGATGGTCAGAGGTCATCGGACTTAGAGCTATGTTTTATTGATCAGAGTTACTGATCAATATCCAGATATTTACAGAGTCTGGGATATGGGCTGGACTAGGACAGGTGTGCCTTAATCGCTAATCTGGTGCCCACATTCCACACTTTTCTTGTGTTTAAAGCAGATATTGTTCTTCAGAATCTTCTGATTCCTCCTCAAAGGGATCAGAATGAATTATAGAGAGAAAGCACTAACGGCCGTGGAGTAGCTGCAGAATAGGTAGTTCGTCTGTTGGGGTTGCAGGACAAGCACCAAGATTGAGATATACAGTATATGAAACACATGACAAGGAAGCATAAAACAATGATTACAAGATATTGAATACTTTTTTCAAGCCACCCCCCCAGGTAGACATGATCACAGGGCATTCCATGGCATCTGGTGGGGGCTGGAACAGTTGTGGTTTGTGGTTCACACTGGCGAAAGTTCCTGCCAAAGGAGCAACCATAGCTGTCACAGGTACAATTGGCATGATGAAGCAGATAGTTTGTTCAGAGTGTTCAAAGGCAAAAATGTTCAAAATGTTCAAGGGTACACACAGGTGGGAAAAGGAAGACAAGTTGGCTCCCCATGTGATCAGTGGAGCTTGCAGTGAGTTTGGAGGCCTTGGCTCACAAGGGGCTGGAATGGGTGCTGCGCTCCTTGCAGGCTGACCTTGGCCATCTCTGGTAAGGGATCCTTGGAGCCACGCCATAAGCCAGTCGAACACATCTGGCCGAGACCCACAAAGGACCTGCAGAAGTTAAAACAAACAAAAACCCTCGCCCCCCCTTGTTATTAGTGGCAAATGACAATCATAAGCTGATGAGCGCGGAGATCCCGGGGGACCAGAAACATTGAGTGGGTTAAGGGAGAACAAAACCTTGTGGACCTGCTGCATGAGTTTGGTCAGTGTGGGTGGACA